AAACTCTTCTAGAACATGGCCACAGAGCCCGAAAAACCCACAAAAAACCAAAGAGAAATGGCTTTTTTCCTCCACTGCTAACCTCCATGGGAGAAAAGAGCAGTTCTCTATGGAATTAGGAGGAAGGATTTTTTGGCACCCAGGTCATGGAGGGCCTTATGCTGCCACTAGGCTACCAGTTGTGCACCGGGGTATATAGAGGAAACTTTCTTTGCAAAATAGACATATTGCTGGCAAGGGAAAGGTTGCTATGTAATCTGCTCGCCGCTCCTCAAATTGGCCTGGCTACAAACCCAGCTGGCATATGGACGCAGATTAAAAGGCTTTGGCTGGCAAAAACATTTCCTGTTTACCCAGCTAGTAATGTGTTTTAATAGCATTTCCAGACATGCCCTGTTGGGCTGATCATGTCTGTCTGAGAGGTAATTTTCTCCTTTCTTTGAGGGGGAACAAAAAAGGAGCCCTGTGAGTCATCCCGGCGCCTGCTACTCTTCACCTGTATTGCCTCCTTTGCAATAGCGTGGCCATTTGTCCTACTTTGCACAAGACCATCCTGATTTCCAAGGGCATTTGAGGACACCCTCCCTTTTAGGGCATCCTCTCTTTCAGGGGTTGGTAGCTATGGATCTCTAATATTTTTGGATTGCAATGCCCACAGTCCTTCATTGTCAGCTCAGCTGCTTAGATATGCACCGGTGTATCTAGAACTAATGGGGAGTGTAGATCAGAGTTGTTGTGACTAATTCCCATCAAGTCAATTTTGACTCACGGTGGTCCTGTGGATGAGATACCTCCAAGACCCCCCTATCCTAACTGCTCTGCTTAAGTCTTACAAAATCAGGCCTATGGCCTCCCAGATTGGGTCTATTCGGAGATTATTGCAGCGCTAATTGAAGCGGTTTACCTGAGCCAGCTTAAAATTTTAAAAAATGGGAGGCATCCTTATCTTATTGCAAGGATTTGGCCACCGAAATTGCCGCCCGGGTCCAGCCCCACTCCCAGGGCTTTTTTTGAAGCCAGGAGTTTCCCATGATATTTTACATATCTATGATGTCATGATATTCCATAACTAATAAACTAATCATCATCCGTCACTCCTCCATCCACCTTGTTTTCCACACGACTCAACCATTTTCTCGTTCTCCTCTTCCCCTTCTAACAATCCATCTTCCCTCCTTTTGCCTTCTACTAATATCCCTTCCAAATCCCTCCTTTCTTCACTTCTGCTACCGCTCTTCCCTCTTCTCCATCCGCACGAGGAATTTCAAAATATCCTCCATTTTGAGCGTAACTAAGAAGAAGCCTTAATTTACGGTTCTATGAGTGTTCCTAGCATTTATTTTGTAACGTCCTGCATTGCTCTTGACTGTCCTATGTTTTGCAGTGCCATGTCCTCCTTTGCAGTTATGACATCTGGTCACCCTGAGAGTCAAATATGCATCTCTTCTCTTCAAAAGTTGTTTCCAGGTCTGATGGAGCTGCTGGCCAAGCAGAAAAGAGGGATGACTGTCTTTCCCATCTGGCCAACAGATGTGACAGATCTAGAAGGACAGATCCCTTTCCACCAAGACATTTGGTGACACCCCATCTGAGATGTCACTGCACCCCTTGCACTCCCTGGTGCATCCTTGTGTTGCTGGTCTCCTTTGTGTACCTCCTTGTGCTGCACACAACATGTTTCTTCTCTTTCTACAAACATTTACTTTAACTTTTTTTAAAAAATCCTGTCCAATTTTGCCTTCACTTGCTAGGGAACGTAATGCAAAAGAACAGTAACAAAGCAGCATGTAATTTGCAGGGGAAATAGAGATGATGCCAAAGCCATGCCTGGAGCATGAATACCAAGCTAGCTCCACTATCCAGTGCTCATGGTGTGACATTTGTCCTCCTTCCCATTTGAAATGCGTGTTCTCTGAGTTTTCAGTTTTCTTTCTAATTGCCTCGCTAGCTCATTGTCTTGGATGATATCATAGCAATCATATGCAAACTGGAGGGGCAGAGTACGGGGTTTATCACAAGGGAGGGATCCCATGCAAAACCGGGATTTATACCGGGGGGAACCGCAAAAGCAGATTGATTTTCAGATGACATCTGACATTAACCTGGATAGAAAGTGGAAAAAAACCCGCAAAAGTGGATTGATTTTCAGATGACGTTGGAGTTAATGAGCATTAACGCAACATTAACCCGGACAGAAAGGCGCTGACAAAAGGCGCTGTAATGAAGGTTGATTAAACCAGTTAGTCGATGTAGATTATCTTTTTAATTTATCTCAGGATTAATTAACCCTACCTCTAAACTCAGGAGGCAGAAAGTGAGGGTGAAGCAAGGCGAATGTTGCAGTCTCCAAGTTGTTTCGTCCAAGCCCTATATAATATGGTGCTACAACTGAAGTAATAGAGGATGCTCTCCCATTGCTGGGCTAGATTCAAATTCCAGCCCATCTGACTTCTGCATGTAAAACTTGAGGAGCACTTTACCCTTTGAATCAAGCAAGAAAATGTCTTGGGCCAGCCCAAAATAACCCAATTAATCCTGAGATCTCCATATACAGTTAAGAACACTGTGTCTCTATCTCTGTGATTCTAGAAACAGAAACATGGAAAGGTTATTTACAGCTGCTGTCACGCTACCCATACATGATGTTACCAATCAGTCGTAAGGAACGATGCATTTGTAGAAATCAAAAATGTCTTATGGAAACCAGTATTAGTGGGAACATCTTCCAACCCAGAGAACTAGGACCAGTTCCCTAGCCCACAGTAAGAGATGTGTGTCTATGTGTCATGCCCACGCATTGGGGACGTATGAGGACAACTTCCAAACTCACACGCAAAAAATAACAGAAGGAAAATTAAATGGATATTGTGATAGGAACGTGGAAAAATTGTCGGCTGGTGGTGAGCCTGAGATCTTGAAGATCCTGAGATCTGGTGGTCCCAGAGGCAAGCTGCTTGTTTGCCATCTGAGGACCATCCAACCCATCACCAGAAAGATCACCATGTTGGGAAAGTGGAGCATGTCCAGAGGAGGCCGAACAAAATGGTGAATGGTCTGGAGACCATTTATCTATTTTATTTTTATTTATTTCCAGGATTTATATGCCACCTTTCTCCCACGGTGGAATTCAAGGTGGGTTACAATAGACAGTCGTCCCTCCAAAGATTTCCATTTTTGCAAAGGGTGTGTGTCT